ATGCCCGGCTAATTTTTTCTATATATTTTTAGTTGTCCAATTAATTTCTTTCTATTTTTAGTAGAGACGGGGTCTCGCTCTTGCTCAGGCTGGTCTCGAACTCCTGAGCTCAAACAATCCGCCCGCCTCGGCCTCCCAGAGAGCTAGGATTACAGGCGTGAGCCACCGCGCCCGGCCAAGGGCTCTTCTTTACCCCTAAAAAAAAAAATCTTAAGGAATTCCTTACAACTACTTCACATTATAAAATGACTTAATAAGAACATGAATTTAATAAAGTAGGGGCTCAAAGATGGGATAATAAGACAAGAGAATGAGATGGAAAGAAACTGAAGACAAAAACAACATTATTAGAGAACAAATAAATTAGAACTAACATGAAAGAGAATGGGCCCCTTTGAAACTCCAATTACTGAATTGGGGCAGCGAAACTAGGCAAAGAGATTAAAGCAATTAGAATTAGCAGAAACAGAAGACAAAGATGATCCAATATAAAGATTAATTGATATTCCTGAAGAGAAACCAAAAGAGAATTCCTTTAATGCAGGAAAATAAAAACCTTCAAAACTAAAACTGCAGATTGAAAGAACACACTATGTTCTAAAAAACCTTGATTAGAAACGTTTAATACAGAGACAGGTCTTAATTAAGTTACTGAACTAAAAAAAAAAAAAAAAAAGTGATGAAGAGTGACCTCTTTAGGCATCCAAGCAGATAAAATGTCACCTATGAGGAGGTGAATTGAGGCTGGCCACAGACTTCTTCCCAGAACGAAAAGGACTAAAACCTACGACATTATGTGGGAAAGACAGTGAGACCCAAGAATATCACACCAGGTCAAGACACGGTTCCAGAGCAGAGGAAACAGACATTCTTAAACATCCACAACCCTTCTTGGAAAAACAGCTCAACGATGAAATTCAGTCCATTATGAGATGAATTGAAATAAAGAACTTGCAAATGGAAAAGCCTTGGTAAAGGGACCAGTGATGAGCGTTGAATTCATTTAAATTTAGAATGCGTACTCAGTAACTATGGGATCACAACTACAGAACAGACTATGAGTTTTATAAGCCTGGACAATGTACCAATAGCACGTAACAAAGCTAGGAGTTATGGCTGGGGAGATGCAAACAATCCTGAGAGCTAATTTTTCCAAGCAGTGAACACACACACTCATATATAATAGAAATGTGTAATTTAAGAAAATGACTCTAACCTCTTAATTTTTTCACAATTTTTGCTTAACCTCAGAGGTATCTTTTAGGAAGTGACATTGCCTGTGGTCAAGAACATTCTTCGAAGGTCAGCTCAGCCTTCAGTTTCACTTCAACTTCTTTTTCTTCTTTGAAAGTAAAGTAAAATTAAATTTAATACTTTTTATTTAAATTGCATCAGTATTATGGACTAAATTTTTATATAATATCTCTATTATCTTTCCCCCTGTCGGCAAATATGCATAGAAGGCTTTCTGGAGTGATGTGAATGGAATGTTCATGGTGGTCATTCCTGGGTGGTGGGACGGGGATAATTTAAACTTTTCCGTATTGCTTGAATTATTTAAAGTGTATAGATACCATTTTTTGAAAACTATGCGATTTTTCTTAAAAGGGGGTAGACAGGCTAAGAAATTATCTGTCATTGATTCTGAATGCTGGTGAATGCTGATTATTTTCTTGTTATTTTTTACATTTTAATTTTCCAATAAATAAATAAAAATTTTAAAGTATTGAAAAAAACTTTCCAGACATCTCACTGGAATAGAATAGTCCAGAAACAGACTTGGCAGAGATGGCTATTGTCTCCCAACGTCTCCTCTCCTCCTCTAACAGTTGATGGAATTTTTAGCTGCACACATGATGGCCAGAATAAAGACCCCATTTCCCAGCTCTGGCCAATAGGATATAAGTGGAAGTGCCATATGGCAGCTTCTGGAATCATCTGAGAGCTTGCTCCTTTGCCCCATATTAGCATCATCCCCTCTTGCTGCCGGAATGCAGATGTCACCATATTGACCATGAAGACGAGACCATTCAGGGACAAGGAACGAGACGGAGGTGTGTGTACAGATTCACGTAAGTCCTAGACTACCTACCTGGACCACATAAGAAAAGAAGAAACTTCTATCTTGTTGAAGCAACTGACCCTAATCCTAACTGATACACGACTTACACACACACATAGAAAGTTAATCTATGATACTATTTGCATGGTACGTCAGTGGAGAAAGATGAAACAACTGGTTTGGCATACACACAAACAAATCACCTAAATGTGATAATTCTTTTAAAGTTTTATAAGAAAGTAGAAACAGAATAGCTTTATGAACTTAGGGAAGAGCCTTTACTTTTAGAAGCAAAGGTGAGAAAACATAAAATAACGAGTAAACTTGACGATATCAAAAATTTAAACTTCTATATGACGAAAGAAACTATAAACAAAAGTAAAGGACAGGCACGAGAACTGCAGGGCAGAACTCCAGTTTCTGGGAGTGAGGTCCGTCGTGTTCAAATTCAGTGTGGTGCTGGGTGTGTACGTGGGAGGGGCAGCAATGTTGGGAGAGAGCTGCGTATTCCACTTTCTCCTCGGACAGGGACAAGGAAACCTCTGAAGGCTTCTGCAGAAACCTTTTTCCTGTATGGAACTCCGTAGTCCCCACAGTTATTTGGCCGTGGGACCAATCTTTTTTTATTGTATTATAACATCTACGACTGTCCCCTGGGTGTATACGGAACACTCAGAAGTGCTGCCATAAGAAATAACACTTTGCCATGTGAGAAATGATTGCTACATTCACCTTTTGAGTCTTCACAGGTAATTCTCACTTCTTCTTAAGTTCTGAGCAGCAGCAGCATAAAAAAGAGGAAGAAATCTGGGCTTTGGGAAATAGGAGTAAATTCTCCTAATAGAGTGAACATATCCCAAGAGAAGGAAGTCAGAGGTAATCTGGGTTTTTCCTTAAGTACTGGCTGGGGCTGCCAGAAGTAGATGTTTTCAAATATGCCCAGCTGGGGATAAAAGACCATTTTAAAGATAATTTAGGGCAAATTCCAGAGAGTTGTGATGCAGAAGATGGCAGTTGGGAGTGATTTCTTGTCGGTTATAGGTAAAGGAAACGACAGTTACAGAAAAAGGAAACAGCAAATACAGTCCAGGATGGTCAATTCAACATTGATTACACACTCTCTGGGCTCTGACATTGAGGCTCTTGTAGTCTAGAGAGGGAGATTTTGTTTAACACTACATTTTAAGTACAATTGAAAGTCCTCATTTTATCTCATGTAATCCTGTGAGATATACATGTACCATATATCTCATTTTTGGGATGAGGAAAGGGAGGCACAGTTAGGTAACTTGCCTAAGGTTAAAAAGCTAGCAGGATTCCAAGCAGGAGGTTTCGCCATGTTCCCCTAACCAGTGATCCGCCCTATTTGTTTTTTTTTTTTTGGAGACAGAGTCTCACTCTGTTGCCCAGGCCAGAGTGCCGTGGCGTCAGCTTCGCTCACAGCAACCTCAAACTCCTGGGCTCAAGCGATCCTCCTGCCTCAGCCTCCTGAGTAGCTGGGACCACGGGCACGCACCGCCTTGCCCGGCCGATTTTTTATATATTTATTTTTAGTTGGCCAGCTAATTTCTTTCTATATTTTTAGTAGAGACAGGGATCTTACTCTTGCTCAGGCTGGTCTCAAACTCCTTCTGCCTCAGCCTCCCGAGTAGCTGGGACTACAGGCATGCGCCACCATGCCCGGCTAATTATTTCTATATTTATTTTTAGTTGGCCAGCTAATTTCTTTCTATATTTTTAGTAGAGACAGGGATCTTACTCTTGCTCAGGCTGGTCTCAAACTCCTGAGCTGAAGCAGTCTCTCTGCCTTGGCCTCCCAGAGTGTTAGGATTACAGGCGTGAGCCACCGCGCCCGGCCAGCTCCGCGCTATTTCTTGCAGATACTATAACTACGTGGGGAACAGCACAGTAGAGAGAGGAACAAAGTGAAAACGTTGTCAAGAAGGCCCAGCAGGATGTCAGTTCACCTTGGTGACAAGCTACAGTTTGCCTGGGAAAGGAAGGAGGGGACAGCCACGTCAGGGTGAGAAGGTCAAAAGTGTCTTCCTCAAGGGAGGGCTCCTCTTAAGCCAGGTGTGTCAGGTTCAAATGTGGTCTTCGGGCACCCTGAGCAGCACAGCTTTCTGAGTGGGAGGACGGGCCGGGTTGTTTCTCAGGACGGTACTGGGGCGGGGTGTCGGGGGTGTGCGTGCAGGGTGGGCCAACCTGGGGCGAGGCCAGTGAAGGGGCCGGGGGCAAACCTTGCCACGTTCCCAGAGAGCGGACAGAAAGGCAGAGGGGAAGGGAAAGAAGAGGGTTCTGGCAGACCTTGGGGCTGGCTTTTGCACGGACGGTCAGCGAGAAGGACACAGAAGCTCGAGGCCTCCGGCTCGGGCACGGACTTAACTTTCCGAGTTGCGTGACCGTTTGGAGGAGTGAGACTGGCGGAGGGAGGGAGGTGCGCGCGTCGCGAGCGGCCGTCCTCTGCACGGGAGAGGGGTCCTCCCGGACGCGGTCCCCGCCCTCGGAGCCGGCAGGGCGACGGTCGCTTGTAACGTGATGCCCGCACCGCGCATCCTGCTCGCCGGTTGCGCCAGGCGCTGGAGCCGGTCCCGGCCGGGGAAGGCCGCCCGGCCGGACGCGCGGGTCCCGCCCGGTTCCCGCCCCGGCTCCGGCGGGAGCATCGGGTGGGGCCGACGAGGCCGAGGCGGCCTCTCCCGGCCCCGCCGGGCCGCGCGCTGCCCGCCGCACTCCGGCCGGAGGTCCCCGCGCGCTCGCGGGCAGCCGGGTGGGGACGTCCCCGAGGCGCCCCGGCGTCCGCGTCCCCCGCCGCGCCGGCCTCCCCGAGCGCGGGCCCGGGCCACCCCCGCCCGGCCCGGGACACGCGGCGGGTCCCCCCGCCCGCGGACTACAAGTCCCGGCAGCCCGCGCAGCGGCGCCTCCGCCCCGCAGGGACCCCGCCGTCCGCGCGGCGGGCTCGGCGGCGCTCTGGGCCGGGCCGGGCGGGAGGCCGGTCCCGCGGGCGGGGGCGGGGGCGGCTCCGCGCTTCTCCCGCCGCCGCGGCCGAGGGGAGTTTCCAGGAAGTGGCCATATTGGAGCCATTCAGCCGCAGCCGCCGGGCGCCGCGCGCCCCGCAGCCGCCGTCCCGCCGCAGCCCCGCGCTCGTCCGGCCCGCGCGCCGGTGCGGAGCTCGCCATGGCGGCCGCGGACCTGGAGCGCGTCCCGGTGAGGCCCGGGGCCGGCGCGGGGGGCCGGGGCGCGGGGGGCCGGGGCGCGAGGCGGTGCGAGCGCGGGGACACCGGGGCGCCTTGCAGGGCGGCCGGCCGGGGTCGCCCCCGCGGGCGCAGACGGGGCAAAGCCCGTCCGCGGGAAGGAGCAAAGCCCCTCTCGGCTCCGGGCAGGTGCGAAGACAGACCGGGCCCCGGGAGCCGCGGGGAGGATCCGGATGCTCCGACCCCATCGCCCCGGAGTGCGTTTCCGCACAGCTGGGGAGATGCCTGGCCGCGCAGGTGTGTCGGGTAGGCGCAGCCGGGGAGGACGAAGCCCCGCGATCCGAGGGCGTCCCCCAGACGAGCTCAGGGCGGTTGCAGACTTGAGTCCTGAAGACCCGGGTCCTGCTTTTCCTCCCTCGCCCGCGCCCCGCCATTCCGGTGCGACCCCAGGCAGCTCAGGCCTCAGTGGCCGCGTCTGCGGCAGCGCTTCCCCGGGACTGGAGCGAGGCCAGACTCGGCCCTGTGGGCGTTTGATCGGGCCCGGCCCAGGTCCGCCTTCTGCGGGGTTGACGTCCCGGGTGGTCCCTGCAGGGGTGTCCCTGGACCTGAGCCTGCCAGCTCACTAGAGGTTTTATCGTTCGCCCGGGGAGGGAGGCCTTTTGGGGTCGCGTGTGCACGTCCCCGGGTGTCTCAGGCTGGATCTGGGTGTGTCTGGAGCTAGGCTGTGACAGCGAAGGAAGCCGCGTCCTCCTGCCAGCATGTGAGGCCCTGGGCGGCTGGAACGGGGAGGAGAGAGAGCAGGGGAAGAGGGGAGGGAGGGCCCAGGGCTGGGGGGAGGAGGGGAATTCTGAACGTGTGGACGATAACGACTTGGTTCTGGGGCTAAAAAAGGGAGCCAGGTCTTATGTAATTAATGCTATAAATACTGTCATCTGAATTTATATATGTAAATTTTCCCTTTAATCTGGAAATGCATCGTTGGTCTACTTTGGAAATGTGCATCATTAAAGCAGGCGCGCTCGGTTTCATGATTTCTAGACTCTAGGGTGTTTTATGCCTATTGGGAAGGGGCGGCCGTGTGTCCGTTAAGTAAGTTTAAATACAGGAGGAGCCGATTCGGAGGTTGGGCCACTCAGATGCACTTCACCCCTCTGCTGTAAATTGGGATTTACGTACCCAAGGCCGGCCGCGCCTGAATCCTGGCAGACCTGCTGGTTAGCTGGAGGCCGGGAGACCTGTGAGCGCCCGGGTGTCTCTGCACGGGTGTCTGCATGCATTTTCTGTGCCCAGCTGACCAGAAAGTTATGTCTGGGTCTCGTCTGTGGCCAGAGGTTGCTCTAGCAGTTGATCCTGCAGGTGGGAGTGGTATGTAGACTAACCAGAATCAGACAGCCCGATAGGAATCCTAGATGCTCCTTGGGGCCATGTGACCTTGGCAAGTTATTTAACCCTTCCGAGTTCTCATCTGTATAATGGTATAAGAATAGCTACCTCCTTCACAGGGTTGTTTTGAGGGTTCAGTGAGAGAATCCAGGTGAGGTGCTGAGACCCGTGTCTGGCACGTGGTAAGGACACAGTAAATAATCCAGGATACCTCGCGTCCACATGGACGTGAAGACTCTGTGAGAAGGCAGCAGAGAGTGTGTCTGCCTGTCACGTGGCACTCTGCAGGGACTGCAGTCACTGTACCTCCAGAGGCGTAGCTGAGCGGCCCGCCTGCCCTGCCCGGCTGTGGGCTGGAAGTCTCCCCGTACCTCCTCATGTTCGCTCTTGGACCAGTTCTGTGAGGAGTTTGGGTGTCACCCCCATGGTGGGCCGAGGCACAGGGAAGGGGCTGACTCAGGTGAGGGTGTAGAGCCTGAGCTCAGGGACTTGGTTACCGTCCCGGGTTGAGCCAGTCTCCACACCCTCCACGCTTTGGGCTGTCAGCCTCTTGGGAGGACTTAGACAGGTTGCATTTGGGTGGAGACCTTGGGTGGAGCTTGGCCTGAATTTGGGAATCTGGACTCGATTCTCCCCTCTTGGCTTGTCATCGTGAGAAAATCATTTCTTCGTTTTTCTTACTATTAAATGGGCACAGCCATACTGATCGAAGAATTCGTGGATGATTCATTGTAGTCCGTGGCATGTTTGGAAATGTGCTGAGGTATCTTGCCAGCTCCGGGGTCGGCATGGTGTATACACCACAGACCCAGCAGCCGTGACATCCTGACCGGGCCCTGCTCAGCCCTGGTTCAGCCACGGGGTTAAGATCAGCGTCTCCTGTGTGTGCACGTGTGGGACAGAACCTCTGGGGAGTTTCTGTTGCCTTTTACCCTCCTTGGGCAGCCGGACTTCTGTCCAGTCTTGCTTTGCCTCTCCCTCCCGGGGCTCTGACTCTGGGGCTCGCCCCTTCCTGCCCTGAGGGTGAGCCCCTGTGTTTCCCTTGTCAGAATCCCGTGGGGCAGGTCAGACTCCATGGTGAGGCTCCTCTAGGGCCTGGGGAAAGGGAAGCTGGAGGAGGAGGGGGAGAAACGTGCCGCTCACGCTGGCAGTCTTCCCAGCCAGTCATCACCCCATCTTTGCTTTATCCCCAGCACCATCTGTCACTTCCGTCGTCACCCCTGTAATCTTGACACTTCCCCAAGAAGCAGGAGATCCAGGGAGTGCCTGTTCATTCCCTCCTGAAGCAAGGACTGGTGGGAAGGGACGTGGGAGGCAGCCCCGTCATCTAAGTGGGGCTGGTGGCCTCTGTCACAGAGTGGAGTGGTGTCTCCCTGTCCTCTGAAAACGGCCAGTAGCCTCCTTGCCGAGCCGTTCTGCAGGAGGAACGAGAGCGGAGCAAGGGATGCCTGTGCAGCTCTCACTGCCTGGTGGTGTCGAGGCGTCACACGTGAACACCCCCTGCAAGGACGCAGCTCCGCCCCCTTGTCCCGAGACGTAGGTGTGCCTTGGCCTCCCTCGCTCATGGGTGTCGTGTCTGCCATGGGCGCTCAGCTCAGGATCGTGACTGGAATGGGTCAGAGCTGCGAGGCTGGAGGGAAGGCATTGGTGATCCAGGGGAGCACACGATCAGGCACTGACCAGGATGGGAACAGAGAAGATGGCAAGAAGGAGGCCGGTCCCAGTGCCAAGGAGGAGGGAAGATGGACGGCAGCTGGGAACCCAGGGTCTGACTCTTGTCAAAAGCTTTGGGTGGCGGGGAGGGCACTGGATGCTTTGTGCCATCATCTTGTTGATGGCAGTAGCCTGAGGTCGGGCGAGAATGCAGACTTTGGTCATCGGCCAGTAAAGGGTAGTCCCGAGACCCAAACCCCAGCACCTGAGTACCCCTTGAGACGACAGAGGGGGTGGAGTCCTCTGAGATCTGAGCCCGAGGATGGGCTGGGTGGAGGTGTCATTTGGGGCAGAACCACCGCGAACGTCTCTGTGTGGCTCGAGTCCAGCCCCCAGAGGCCAGCAGCTGCAGGACAAGAGCGCAGAGGGCCTGCGGGCCAGCCGGGCCGTGTCCCTTGCAGCCTCCTGGCTCCGTGCTGCCAGCTGGGGTCTTGGGACCCGCAGGCGTGGCCCTCCAAGGCACAGGCCTTGCCAGACAGCCAGATGTGGAACTGTGCAGGCAGGTGGGAGACACATCTGCCTGGGGAAGGGACACCCCCAAGGTTGGCATGCCCTGGTGGCAGAGCGGGGGCACTCTTTTCTGGCCTCCTGTGGTCCTCTGCATCCGCAGAGCTCGCGTGAGGAGCCGTGACTGGGAGCGGGCAGTGGGAGGGCAGGGCAAGGGGGCATCTTGGTTCCCGCTGCAGCTGCCCTCGGTGTTCTTGGGGCGAATTGGATACTCTCCCCAGAACATGTGGCTTCAGGTCTTTCTCTAGGATAGAGGCCAAGGTAGAGGGACAGAACCTGGAGTGGGCTGGGAGGGGTGGTGCATGCCTGTAGTCCCAGCTACTTGGGAGGCTGAGGCAGTAGGATTGCTTGAGCCCAGGAGTTTGAGGTTGCTGTGAGCTAGGCTGACGCCACGGCACTCTAGCTTGGGCAAAAACAGTGAGACTCTGTCTCAAAAAAAAAGAACCTGGGGTGGAGGGAATAAGGACCCGTTTCAGAGCACAGGTGGCTGGCTGTTCTCTGAGGGTTTGGACCCAAGTCCACTCGCCAGACCTGGCTGTGGGGCCTGGGTGTGAGCCTGACACCCTGCCTGGTGCTCACATGGGAAGGCCAGCGGGGCCCTGTGAACCTCTGCCAGGGCACACAGGTGCCCGTGCATTCCTCTGCCCCTTCCCAGCACCACATCCATCCTGGGGGGGAGGGAGGCAGGGGCACCTTGCTGCCCACGTCCCGCCTTCCAAGGGTGGGGTCTCATTGGCTGTGGAGCAAAGGCTGCCTCCTCCCTCTAGGATGTCCGGACCACCTGCAGCTTCCCCTGTTGCAAGGCAGTGGTGGCTGCTGCCCGAGTCCCCGAGCCAAGTGAGGAAATAACACTGGGGGTTCCAGTACCTTCTGCGGCCCTGAGCGCCCACCCCGTCTGCTCTGCGGTGAGCTGGACCACTTCCTCTCAGGCAGTGCAGCAAAGCACAAGCGTGCGTCTGTGTCCTGGGCCTGGGGGTGAGGGTGGTGAGCATGGCCCACAACCAGTGACGGACTCTGAGCTTCCTGGAAATGTGATTTTGACAAGACAAGTGTGAAACAAACCGTCTCAAATTAACATGCTGCAGCCTGGCTGTCTGCATGGAGAAAAGGAAGAAAGTGCCTCTCGGTGGGACAGGGGAGCAGAGAGAGTGGGTGCTGGGGTCAGGGGAAGGGTGGCCTTGGGCTCCTGGGGATAGTTTTGCTCCCAAAGGTTCCGTCTCTTCTCAGGGTGGGGTGGGGCAGGACTGGCCTCGTGAGGACGACCGGTGGCCTCACTGCAGCCTCGCTGGGCCATGAAGGTCCCTGCTTGGGTCTTCTCCCAGGTTTTCTGTTGCCGCCGTAGGAGAGAGACGCTCAGTTCCCAGGTGTCCTCTTGATTTGGGACAGGTATATCCTGCTTCTGTTCTTCCT